GTTCATCCAGACCAGTGGAAGTATCTTGATGCTTGGGGAGCGGTTTTGGAGAAACAGCCTGGGTGGTTGAAGCAATGCAAGTGCATGAATGTTGGTGCCATAGTGGATGAAAGGAACAAAGGCACCGGCACGATTAGTGTCCAGCGGGTATTTGGAGCACCAAGGGAAAAGAAACTGGAAGGGAGAGTTAACCCCTATCCGGACTCGGGAAATCCAGCTGATGAGCCGCAGCCGGTTCCCCCATACACCCCCGCCTTCTATCCCCCGTTGCCGCCTCAACTTGGTCTAGGTGCGATTGGAGGAGCTGGCCCCGCTACGGCCCCACCTTTGCAGGGGCCTGAGGTGGATTCCAGTCTTGAACCGTACCTACCCCCAAAGGAGGAATTTGAACAAATGTCCCTAGAGGAACAAAATCGGAGGCTTACTAGGGCAATGAAAAAAGCAAAGGAGGCAAGGAAGCAAGAGGCTGGGCAGGAGGAGGGGCTGCGGGAAGCCGAGGCACTGTGCCCTGTTAGGGAGGTGCCTCAGCTTGTTCCTGTAGCACCGGATGAAGATGGAACACCAAAGTTTGAGACTCGGGTGGTGTATCAGCATGTGCCATTCACTAGCTCGGATCTTCTGAACTGGAAGGCATCTCGACCTTCCTGGACAGAGGACCCGAGGGGAATGGCAAGTCTAGTGGAAGGCATTGTTCAGACCCATAATCCCAGTTGGGTAGATTTGAAACAATTAATAGAAATGTTGCTAACAGCTGAGGAGCGTGTGTTGATGACACAAGTAGGGAAGCAGGAAGCTTTGAAAGAGCATGCAAGCACACACAGTCAGCAAGCAGCAGATGTATACCAGGAAGCGGTATTCCCAGTAGGGCGAGATCCCCGCTGGGACCCTAATGTGCCGGAAAACAAGGATTCTTTGAAGTTGTACCAGCAGTTGATTGTTCGTGCCTTGAGAAAGGGATCCCCACGGATCCCTAACGTAAGGAAAATTTATGAGATGGAACAGGAGAAAGATGAGAGCCCAGCAGCGTTTTTGGAAAGGTTGAGGGAGGCTTTTATGAAGTACTCTCCGTATGATATGGAAGATCAGGATGATAAGGCTGAAGGGAAAGTGGTGTTGAAGAGTGCCTTCATCAGTCAGTGTGCACCAGACATTCGGAGAAAGCTTCAGAAGAGCCCTGGGCTGGTACACATGACTTTAGAAAGGGTGATGGAGGTGGCTAGCCAGACCTACATGTCCCGTGAGGCTGTGCTGGCCAAGCAGGAGGAGGCAAAGGTGTGTCGGAGAGCAAAGTTGGTTGCAGCTGTGTTTCAAGGAGGAGGGCCCAATGGGCCAGGATGGAAAGGGAGAGGACAAGGCCAGGTGGGAAAGGCCCAGGGGAGCTGCAGGCCCCCTCTGGGGCCGAATGAATGTGCTCGGTGCCACCGTCAGGGGCACTGGAAGAACGAATGTACAATGAATGTTGTGGAAGGACAGGGAAAGGGAGTGCAAGGGAGAAATTGGAGAGGAAAAGGGCGAGGTCGTGGGGCTGGGAAGCAGCCTCGTTGGGGCCCAGTGGCAGCGGGGTTGGCCGACCCAGCCCAGGATGAGCTTGGTCTTGCCATTATGAGGGAAAAGGATGGGTGGCAGGACATCGAGCAACAATAGGACAGACCGGCTCCGAGGCCCCGGGGAAGACATGGGATGGTTCGGATTGGTCCGGGGGAGCCTTTGGTCTGTATGGAAGTTGGAAACCAATCTGTTGAGTTTATGCTTGATTCCGGGGCCTCAAAGTCAGTGGTGAACACGGTTGTGTCTCACCCTACTAGTGAAAATGTAAATATCGTAGGAGCCACGGGGAGGCGAAGAGCCTGCCCCCTATTGGCAGAAAGGGAGTGTTCATTGGGAGGGCACCGGGTTTGGCATAAGTTCATCTATATGCCAGAATGCCCAGTGCCTCTCCTGGGGAGAGACGTTTTGTGTAAAATGAGAGCAGCATTGCTTTTTGAGAAGGACGGATCTCTATTGGCAGGATTTAGAGAAGGACAGAATGGGCAGGAATTGGATAGGCGTTTGCAAATGGCTTTGGAACTACCAGTGGAGGAGGAATGGAGATTGTACACGGTAATAGAGGAAAGAACCGATTGGGAGGCTTTTGGTGTCCCAAAGGTATGGGCTGAAGATAACCCTCCAGGATTGGCAAAGGATGTTCCACCAGTGGTGATTGAGTTAAAGCCCTTTGCCAATCCGGCTGTAGTCCATCAGTATCGTCTCCCTCGGGCGGCGGTGGTTGGAATTGCAGCCTATTTGGAGAAGTTGGAAAAATATGGTATTCTGGTTCCTTGCCAGTCGCCATGGAACACACCCCTCTTGCCAATCCAGAAGCCGGATGGAACTTACCGGCCTGTACAAGACTTACGGGCAGTTAATAAGTTGGTGATTCCTCTTCACCCGGTGGTCCCAAATCCCTACACCCTGCTGAGCCTGATTCCACCTCACCATCAGTGGTTCACGGTCCTGGATCTTAAGGATGCGTTTTTTTGCATCCGCTTGGTTAAGAAGAGCCAGGAGATCTTTGCTTTTCAAAGAGAAGATCCAGAGACGGGACATAAGGGTCAGATGACGTGGGCCAGACTTCCGCAGGGATTTTGCAATTCACCAACGATTTTTGGGCAAGCTTTGGCTCAGGACTTGTTGCCTTTAGTCAAAAATGACAAAGGATGGACTATTTTGCAGTATGTGGATGACATACTTTTGGGAACAGATACTAGAGAACAGTGTCTAGAAGGAACTCAGGCTCTGTTACAGTTCTTGGCAGAGAAAGGTTACAGGGTTTCTAAGAAGAAGGCTCAATTGGTACAGCGAGAGGTTAAGTATTTAGGTTTTCGGCTGGCTCAAGGTTTCCGGAGGTTGGAGGTGGAACGTAAAGAGGCCATCTGTTCCATCCCCACCCCCCAGACGAGGAAACAGATTAGGGAATTTTTGGGGGCGGCGGGGTTTTGTCGCATATGGGTTCCAAATTTTGGACTATATGCTAAACCCCTCCACGAGGCTACAAAAGGGAAATCAGGAGACCCATTGGTGTGGGGTCCAGAGCAGCAACTTGCATTTGAAGACCTCAAGAAAGCTTTGATGTCGGCCCCCGCTTTGGGGCTACCTGATTTGGAGAAGATCTTTTACTTATATGTAGGAGAAAGAAAGGGAGTGGCAGTTGGAGTGTTGACTCAACTTGTAGGGAGCTGGCCTCGACCAGTGGCTTATTTGTCGAAGCAACTGGACAATGTGGCTTGTGGATGGCCCCCATGCTTAAGGGCTGTGGCAGCTGCTGCAGTCCTTGTGGAAGAAGCAAATAAATTGACTTTGGGACAGCCCATCATTTTGAAGTGTCCCCATGCTGTAGTAACTTTGATGGAACATAGGGGGCACCATTGGCTCACAAACAGCCGAATGTTAAAATATGAAAGCATGTTGGTGGACAATCCTCAGGTCACCTTGTCTGTGTGTGCAACCTTAAACCCAGCTACCCTTCTACCGGTGGAAGAAGGAACCTTGATGCAGCACGATTGTTTGGAAGTGATGGATGAGGTCTACTCAAGTAGGCCGGATCTCAAAGATGTACCTTTTCAAACCCCTGAGTGGGTGCTTTTCACAGATGGTAGCAGTGTGGTGATTGCAGGACAACGAAAAGCAGGGTATGCTGTGGTGACAGGGGATGGGAAGACCTTGGAGGCAAAGGGGTTGCCCCCAGGGACCTCCGCCCAGAAGGCTGAGCTTATTGCTCTCACCAGGGCTTTACAATTGGCAAAGGGAAAGAAAGTCAATATTTACACCGATTCAAAATATGCTTTCACTACCCTGCACGCCCACGGTGCCATATACAAAGAAAGGGGTTTGTTAACCTCAGCAGGACAACAGATTAAGAATGCTATTGAAATTCTACAGCTTTTGGAAGCAGTATGGGAACCAAAGGAAGTAGCCGTAATGCATTGTAAGGGACATCAGTACGGTGAGGACCAAGTGACTCAAGGGAATCGGCTGGCTGACCAACAAGCCAGAAGAGCGGCTGAGTGTAATGCACCGGAGGAGACAGTGTTGCAATTAGATGTCACACCAGTGATAGGGACCATGACCTACTCTGCAGAGGAAAAGGAGTGGGCTTTGAATGAGGGAGCGAGGTGGAAGGACGGGATTCTTTTATTACCCAATAGCAAGGTATTTGTCCCCAAGGCTTTAGGATGGGAATTGATAAAGGAAGTACATAGGCAAACTCATTTGGGAGCAACCAGTATGGCAACGTTACTTGAAAGACAACTCTGGGTGGATGGTTTGCACGCATTGGCTAGGGCCGCCGCCTTGAGGTGCGAAATCTGTGCGAAGAACAATCCCAGGGCGGGGCCCTTGCTTCCCCCAGGAGTGCAGTATTTGGGTAAAACACCTTTCGAGTCCTTATCTGTAGATTTCACTGAAATGCCAAAGGCCCAACGGTTTCACTACATGTTAGTGATGGTTTGTACATATTCAGGGTGGGTGGAAGCGTATCCCACCACCACTGAGAGAGCAGTAGAGGTTAGTAGGGCACTGTTAAGGGACATTATCCCTCGTTATGGAATACCCCTACACATTGGAAGTGACAATGGTCCAGCTTTTGTTCACCAGGTTATAGGGTGCCTAGCTCAGTTGTTAGGAACTACTTGGAAGCTGCATTGTGCCTATAGACCTCAATCATCAGGGAAGGTAGAAAGGATGAATAGGACTTTGAAAGGGACTCTGTCAAAAATGTGTCAGGAAACTGGGATGTCTTGGATTCAAGTACTACCAATGGCCTTGTTGAAAGTTAGATGCACTCCCACCAAAGTTCTGGGCTTGTCGCCATTTGAATTGATGTATGGAAGGCCCCCTTTAAAGATAAAGCCATTACAGGGAGACATAAGGGAGTTGGGAAACCAAGAACTGATAAAGGAGGTTCAGGCTTTGGGAATAGTATTAAATAAATTGTATAATTATACTGGTATGTTGCGGTATCCCTTCCCTGTTACTGCACTACACTCTTTCTCACCAGGAGACCAGGTGTGGCTAAAAGATTGGAGGTGTGATCCCCTGGGACCGAAGTGGAAGGGCCCGCTGCAAGTGCTGTTAACAACTCCCACTGCTGTGAAATTGGAGGGTGTGAAACCGTGGGTGCACTATACCCGCATCAAGAAGGACTATACTGCTAAGGACCCAGACTTTTGGCAAGTAAACCTGAATCCGGACAATCCACTAAAATTCACTCTCAACAAAGTTAAGGGACAGGCTAAGGGCTACCCTGAAGAGGAGGGGGATCCAGCTTCATAGAGCTCCTCCCCCGGGGGTCAGGCGACCAAGCGCCGCCCTGAAAGGAAGGAGGGTAGCTTCCGAGAGCTACCCCAAAGACCTGAAGGGACATTGGGGGTTGGGAGTGGGATTGTGTATTGTCTGTGAATTGAATATTGATTGAACACTGTTACTAACACTTATATATGCATACCTGAACATGAAGTATCTATGCTATCTGATACTACTGAGTATGGCCCCCTTGAGGGAGATCCAAGGAGGATGGGAACAGAATATATTCCATCAATTAATAAGAGAAATAGTGAATGAATCCAAAATAACCAATTGCTGGGTTTGTGCCCATGGTCCTCATTCACAATATGAGGGATGGTCCATGGTAGTGGGAACAGTATTAGACCTGAAGGGTTGGAAAATTTTCACACCATGGACCTATAACATGGAAAAAGGGTTAAAGGATTCAGCCCAGTTTATGTTAACTCACAGGGTACCTCCGCCAGAGGCCCCTGTATGTATCACTCGAGGTAAGGCAGAAATCCAGAAAGGAATTCACGAGGATTTTCCTCAGGCAATACCAATAGATCTTGGAGATTACCCCCACTGTAATGTCACTTATACTGTGTACTATGGTCATCTCCAAATGAAAATAGAGGAGCCAAAACAGGAGGACAAACCCCAGAGGTTGAGGAGGGAGACCCCAGGATCATCAGGGGGAGATGAAAAACTCCCCCCTCCTCGTCCTGGACGCCAGGGAAGAATTGGGAGTCTCCCAAAGGGATCTACAGCACGAAAGGCAGGGACGAGGAAGGCCCCGTCAGGGGCGGATGGAGCGGTAGCCCTTCCCCGTCACCTAGATTCTGATCAACCTCAGGAAAACCTCCCATTAGAACAACGAATCCCCGGAGGATCAAAACCCGGTATCCTTGTTGACAATCATGCCCTAGGAGGCCTGCCTTCAGGTTTCTATTGGATATGTGGGCAGTGGGGTGGAAAGGTTTTACCCCCACTCTGGACAGGTACATGTACCATCGGTACCTTAGCCCCGACCAACATAGAAATCTATCCTAAACAGCAGCCTCATTTGACTTGGGGGACCAAACGTGGAGGATATCGGGCAAAGAGAGCCTATGATGAGAAATATGGATACGATCCAGATGAAACATACCTTAGTGAAGGAGCCAGGTTGGGAGCCATCTTGTTTCCCCAGGTGGGGGTGGCCCTCAATGTGAGACAGATTAGGAGGCTATCAGCACAAATGGAAAGATTGGCAAATAATACCGTTAAAGGGATCAAAGCTCTCCAAACAGAGATTGATTCATTGGCAGGAGTTCTAATGCAGCACAAGCTGGCTTTAGACTATCTTCTATCCGCTGAGGGCGGATTATGTGTCTGGCTTAACGTGACGTGTTGCCATTATGTCAATGAATCAGGAGAGATTGAATCCGATATGGAAAAGATCAATAACATAGTCTCCACCATTAGGGCAGGATACTCCCCAAAAGGAGCGGGTTGGTTCGATTGGTTAACATCCTGGCTACCAAATTTCCAGTGGTTAAAAGATATTGTTGTTGTTGTTTTTATTATTTTGCTACTTATAGTTCTTGTAATAATGTTACTGCCATGCTTGTTGTCTTGCTTAAGAAATATGGTTGAAAAGGTGGTAAATGCTTCCAACACAAGGATTAGACAGAGGAAAAACGTCATAAACATGAAACTAGGAAAAATGAAAAAGGAAAAACTCCCTCATAATTTGAGAAATGATAACTAAGAGCTTCTCTCTTAGTTCCAAGAAAAAATGGGGGAATGAGAGAAACAGTGAACCAAAGTCACTCCATCTCCTCTGTCTATTCTTTAGAAAAGGGCATATTCTCCACTTCTAACTAAGAAACAGCCTGTCTTTCTTTCTTTAGGGAGGCAATTGTTATGACAGTTGGTTCCAAGAAACAGTTTGTGCCCAGCCAATGTGGTCGGCCAGATATGATAAAGATATATGCAGTATGTCACGTCAATAGAAATGCCTATGGGAGTTGTTTACTTCAGGGGAGGTGTCTTTTACCGTTGGTGGTGAGCTACACCCCACAGATGCTTACCTCGAAAGAGGTGTTAGCCCATCTGTGAAACCTGATAGAGAAAAAAGGAAACTCCTAGACAAGGGTATATTAGCCTCGCAGCCAGAGGGCTCGAGGCGCGACAGCTTTGTATTGACACTGAGCCTTAGTGTCATTCTGTCCGCCTATTCTACTGCAGTACAATAAAGGTGCTTGCTTTTAAACTCATTTGGGCTTCGAGTGGTCTTCAAAGTGTCTCAGCAAGATCCCGGCCGAAAGCAGTGTGAGGAGCGGCCTGCCGTTCCTCCTGTTCCTGCTTCACCCATACAATCAAAGAGCATTCTGAACCTTACCAATGATAGAATTGAGCCAAACTTCCCACACAGACCCCTCTGACATCCCTTGGTGACCCCACCCTCGAGGAGTCCCGACTCCCAGGTTGAGAAATGCTTCATTATTCAAAATCAACATATATTTGGTTGACTTCACACAATTACATCTTGACCATAATACTTATTGCTGTAACATTTGAAGCTAATTGTGTAAAGATTATTAATACTACAACTCCAAACAATTCTTTGTAGGATAACTGAGATGAAATGAAACATAAGGTGTTCATATATCAGAACTGCATAGTGTAATATGTTAATGTTCAAAGCCAAGAGAGATCAACAAGATAAGTATCCCCCCCCCCCCCCGCAGTTGTAAGTAACAGGTAACTACAATATATGCCTTGGGGTGTGAGAAATCTGAGCACTTACTAGTAAATTATTTCTAGACTGAAACAAACAAACCCTGTTTGGAATCACTGAGTGGTTTCGTGGGAAGAAATTTCAGCGGAGGCCAAGATATTCCGGGAGTCGCTCACACCAACCGGTCACTAATTATGTAAATTCTGCCCAATGTCTTGTGTTATTATTTCTGCTCCTTGTTTGTATTATGAGGTTAGAAATAGCAGAACAGGGCTATTTCAAGAAAGCATTGAATCATTTGGCAAACTTTTGGCTACTTGGTCTAAATGGATTTGGGCAGCATCTTCATGTTGTTGGCTAGACTTTTAAAATAGCTACTTTTGGGGCTTCCTATGATGAGTAAGGTTTCTCTGCAGGTTACCAACCAGGAGGTTTTAGGCAAAAATGTATATTCTTAAAAATACGTTTAATTCTGACTTTTAAGGATTTTATTTTACAGATATTGCAGCTGGGCTAGGAGAGGTTTGTTTGGGGGGGGGTTGTCGTAAATTCTACTCATATGTGGTCAAAGAAATAATTTGTGGGATCCTATATGACCATCATAACACTGTGACAATCTTCTTATGTAGCAAATTCCAGTATGACCTTACTCTCATCTCTGCTTAATGAGAAGCTGCCACTGTGGTCAACAAAGGAGCATTGTCCTGTTGATCGAGAAGTGGATGCTTGATGTTCCCTCCTCTTCCCATGAGTAACCTCCAGATAACAGCCAGATAAAGGATCCCTGTCAGAAATCCCCCTTGTGCTAGAGATTACTAGTGCAAGGCATCAGATTGATAAGGGAACACACCCCTGTTGACTGCAGTGGCTGCTTGCTGATAAGTAAAATTACGGGGACTTTTCTGGCCCCGTATGTATTCCCTAAACTATAGGCTGCACAACTGTAGATTACTATATTTCATCACATAATAATCGCATGCACACCCTTTTTTTTAAAAAAAGGGCAGTGAATATTATTTGAGGAATCCCTCTTTTTTGTTCCTAAAAAAAGGCTTGACAATATATCCAAGAATGCCCAGTAAACAAATTTACATAGTTAAACATTTTAATCTTCCATGTCGGAAGACTCCGCACCACTGTCATTGCTGTCAGTATTTGATGC